CTCCTCCTCCTCCTCCTCCTCCTCCTCCTCCTCCTCCCCAAGATCGTTTCATCGGTTCGGTTTCCGGCTCCTGCGGGCGAAAAGCCGCTTCTGCGGAGGCCTCCCACGTTCCCTGGGCGACGGCGAATCCTCGCATGACTTCCTCACGAGGACGATGGAGGACAGAGGGGAAAGAGGGAAGGCGGACGCATAGGCGCAATTAGGCATAGGCGCTGTGAGGTCATGGGCAGTGACTGGATGGAGAGGGAGGGAAAGTCCTCGCAGGACTTGTAGATAAAGATGTACATGGTCAGGGACGGCACTCCGACGGGCCACGCCCACTTCGAGAGACGCCAATACCACCTGAACCCTCCGAGGCTTGACGGCGCGGCGGAGGGCCAGTCCGAAAAAGGACTCGTACCGGCCCTCGGGGTCGCCATCGCAAGAGGAGAGCAGCGCAGAGCAAGTTAATGGCATGCGCATGTATCTATAATAGTCTAAGATATACGTATGTACACACACACATATATATATATATATATATATATATATATACAAATCGATGTCTATACATATATATAGATATATATATATATATATAAATATACATACATACATACATAAACATATAACATATAATATCTAATATATCAGATAGAATATATAATATGTATTACATATAAAGGCGAGAAAGGGCGAGAAAGAGCGAGGAGGAGAGCGAAGAGGAGGATGAGCTCGACTCTTGGTGAAGCCGAGAACCCTGTCTCTGTCGAAAAAAACATGTTCCCCATGCGCTGAAATCCGCCGATCCGGCGTGTAAGCTACAAGGACCCTCACCAAGAGCGTCAGCTCTGAGCCCCAAGCAAGAGCTTCAGCTCTGCTTGGGGGGGGTCGCCAGGGTGGCTCTGCCGGGGAAAGGAAGGAAGGGGGGAGGGGGGGGGGCATGTGGCGTTTTCCTTTTGCGCGTCCGGACCCCCCCCGGGGAAGGGAGGGAGGGGGGGGGCGGTCCCCCACCTGGCGCTTTCTTATCGATTTGCGCATGCCCAAGATGTTTCGGGAGGTCCCAGGGACCCGCTCTCAGATCTAGCTGCTCCTACCGCCCCCAGGACCCTCCCCCCCCCAGAGGAGAAGAAAGAGAACCGGAATAATCGAGGAGGGAAGAGGCCACAGAGCCGCGAAGATCACTGCATCCGGAGCCCCCCGGATCGGCGGCACTGGCCGGAGGCCATTACAATCTGTCTACAAGCTGGGCCGCTACACCATGAGCATGTACGCACGCCGGGACACGATAAGTTGCTGCCCGACCTGCAGGTGCGCGAAGCAGCGGCGGCCGCCGATAGCACAAGGTGGACTATCTTTTGTACTGTCGTGATGCACGCCCTCGGCGCTGGCTGAGTCCCAGCTTGTCGTCGCCGCGCTCCTCCTCCGCGCTGGCGCGGCCCGCCCCCCCCCCCCCGACCTCGCCCGCCCTCGCCCGCGCGGCGCCGCGGCGGAGCCGCCGCGCGGCTCGCAAACGTCGCGCCCTGCAGGGCATGGCCACCCCGTTTGGCTGGCCTGACGCCTGTCGGAGCCCTGGCTCTCTCGCTCTCTCTATCTCTCTCTCTCTCTCGGGTCGGGCGAAAGGGGGGGATAGCAAAGGGGGGGTTTGAGAATCAGCTCACGTAGCTGATTTTCCCGGCGCCTCCCGGCGCTGGGAGGCGCCCATGCATCGAGGAATGGGCCCGGCGGCGGGGCCGAAACCAGCTGCATGCAGCAGATTTCGTAACCCCCCCTTTCCCAATCCCCCCCTTTCGCCCGGCCCGAATCTCTCTCTACGGAGGCAAAGGAGGAACGCCGCTTGGTCCGACGCTGCCAGACGCGCCAATCATACAGGCCCCGGAGGAAATTGGCGAACACTCCTGCCACATGCCATTCCTCTGTCAATCCCCCTCCCAAACGATGAACGTTGGCGGTGAGTCGAATGAATTGCACTTCGACCGAAGACTTCCCCGCACGTGCCAGCTTTGAATTTGGGAGGGGGAGGGTATCCACGAATTGTTTCTCTCCACTGTAGCCCAGCCAATCCACGAAACTTCTTCAAATCAAAACGCACGTTGTAAGGAGCTAGGGGCGGAGGGAGGAAGGAATACGCGGAGCTCCCACAGGCCCAGTCAGCGCCGTCAGGCGCGCCCTCCTAATCTTGCCAGGGGCGTCCACGATACTACGGCGCTGGTCTCGAGGGCATGCGGCGGCGCAGCAGCGCCGCCCCGCCACCCCCCCGGCCAAGTGGGGGCGAGCAGGCTTGTGAGCGTGTCCTGTGTCGCAGGTGGCTCGAAAGGCTCGGGGCAAGAAAGACTACTTGAAGTGGCCCGCTCTGGAAGCCCCGAGTCCAGAAAAGCTGGCACCTCCCGAGGGGCAATGTTGGCTTCCGCTGGCTTCCACTGGCGGAGCAGCCCCCGTCTTGCTTCCGCTGGGCTTCCGACACCTTCTGCCGAGGGCGAGATGACAACCTCTCAAACCCTCGAGGCCGATGCCCTTCCTGGCGCGCCACACGTGGCAAAAAGGATGGAGCAAAGGCTAGTCACCAACGTCGTCAGATTTGGCAACGCCATCGTTACCCAACATCAGAAGTAGCATCACCACCATAGCCCATACCCGCATCGTCATACTCCAGGGCCTCTTCATCGTTTCCGCCATTTCACCCTTGTTCCACAGCAGAGCCGCCGAAACTGTGTTATGGCGGTTTATTTCACCATCTTGCCAAAGCACTTCTGACATGCACGGCGCTCTCTCTCTCTCTCTCTCTCTCTCTCTCTCTCCGTGCACGGCTCTCTCTTTCTCTCTCTCTCTCTCTCTCTCTCTCTCTGTATCTCTCTCTCGCTCTCTCTCTCTCCCTCGTGGACATCAGTGCCGTTGCCACCCACACGCTGTCTGACTCTGTCGCGCCCGCTCCTCTTCCTCTCTCCTTCTCCGCCTGCCCGCGTGCCCAGCGCCATGCCGCCGCCAGACCTCCCGCCCACCCCTCGGAACGCCCACCGGCTGGGAGCGTTCCACAGCCACTGCCACATGATCTTCTGCTGGTAGGGGGAGAAGCTTTGCTTGATCTCCCCGCCTCGGGCGTGAGCAGAAGGGCAACGGGGAGCCCCAGACAGTGAGAAACTGCGGGGGCAGCTTGATGCAAGATCCATTATATATCTATATACATATATACAGATGATACCGGAGAAAAACCCAATCATAATGTTTTTGGGGCTGTAGGGCTATAGGGGCACAGGGCTATGTGGGCTCTTGGGCGCTATATGGGCTATTGGGCTATATGGCTATAGGGGCTATGGGGCTATAGGGCTATTGGGCTGTTGGGCTATAGGGCTATTGGGCTATAGGGCACCCCCGGGCACCCGCGCACCCCCGGGCACGCCCGGGCACCCGGGCGGCCGGGCACGCGGGCACCCCCGGGCACCCGGGCACCCGGGCACCCGGGCACCCGGGCACCCGGGCGTGCGGCGAAAATCGGCGGCAAACCTAACCTAACCATATGAATCCGCTAGGACCCCTAGGGAGGCAAGCTCTGATTGGGGAATATACACATATACCGGAGAAAAGCCCCAATCAGATGTTTTCAATCTTCCAATTGCTCCCTCATAGGGCTATAGGGCTATCGGGCTATAGGGCTATAGGGCTATCGGGCTATAAGGCTATGGGGCTATAGGACTGTCACCTTTAGGGCCATAGGGCTATAGGGCTATGGGGCTATAGAGCTATACGGGCTATGGGGCTATAGGGCTATAGGGATATAAGGCTATTAGGGCTATAGGGATATAAGGCTATAGGGCTACAGGGCTATAGGGCTATACGGCTATAGGGCTATAGGGCTATAGGGCTATAGGGCTACTGGGCTATTGGGCTATTGGGCTATTGGGCACCCCCGGGCACCCGGGCACCCCCGGGCACCCCCGGGCACCCCGGCACCCCGGCACCTGGGCCCGGCCACCGAAATCGGCCACGCACCTCACCGGCCACCCGGGCACCCGGGCACCGCCGGGCACCCGGGCACCTGGGCACCCGGGCCCGGCCACCGAAATCGGCGACGCACCTCACCTAACCCTTTAATCCGCTAGGACCCCTAGGGAGGCAAGCTCTGATTGGGGAACATACATACATACATACATACATACATACATACATACATACATACATACATACATACATACATACATACATACATACAAACATACATACATACATACATACATACATACATTACATACATATACATACATACATACATACATGCATCATAATACATACATTACATACATACATACATTCACATACATACATACATACATACATACACATATATATACATACATGCATGCATGATGCATGCATGCATGCATGCATGCATGCATGCATGCATGCATGCATGCATGCATGCATGCATGCATACATACATACATACATACATGCATGCATGCATGCATGCATGCATGCATGCATGCATGCATGCATGCATGCACACATGCATACATACATGTATATAGACACACATATACACTAGAACCATCGCGCGCGCTCAAGTTCTAGCTAGGCTGGACAGGCTAACACATGGAAGATCAGGTTTGACTTTCCTTGCATCTAGAGACTCTCTTAAAGGCCCAGCGCAAGCCTCGGAAGCGTACAGAAAGGAAAATGCGGAAACACAAGAATCAGCACCTTCCTTTAGGTATTCGACGATATGGGGCCCTCAAAAGCTTCCTGAGATCTTTCTTGGGTGGTGACGCGGGCCTTAAGTGTGGTCTGTTGTGCAAGAGAACACAGGGGGTCGAACTTGAAAAAAGGAATTGTGGGAATTCCTCGTTTTTTCCAAAAACTGCCGTGCCTGGGCTGCGGGTCCGAAGTCTCCTGGATGCATGCCATGGTCTGTTGGGATGCCTTTCGGGGCCTTCTTGGCGGCGTCTTGGGGGTGGGTCGGAGCCTGTTAGGGGGCTCTTGGTGCCTCCTGGGAGCCTCCCGGGAGTGTCTGAAGTCATCTGGGGGGCGCCTCGAGTCTTTGGGAGAACCTTGGGGCCATCTTAGGGCAGAGCACCCGAAAGGCTTGGGGAGGTCCCTTCTTGTGGCCCCCTCCTGGCGCGCGCGCTCAAGTTCGAGCTATGCTGGACAGGTTAACTCATGGGATCTCGATGTTTGAGAGCCGTTTTCCGAGAAGCCAAGAGAACACGAAGACGGCCAAAGAGAGTTCCAAGACAGCGTTAGAGAGTTCAACAGCATTCCCGACAAATCTTCTTCGAAGTGTGACACGGGTATCCAAGAAGCCGCTGGCCTAATGCTACGCCCCGATCGCGGGATGGGCTGGGGGGCGACTTCAAAAATAAAGGGAAGTGCTCGCCTCCGCTTGTGTCTAGTAGGTCCAAGCCTTGTCGAAAACAGGTGGCAGGTAATGTTGGATGTTCTCCAGCAGCTGTTATAGGGCTCCTCGCAGCCTCCTCGGGAACTGCTTAGGGGCAAGCTCAGGCCCTTTTTGGGCCGTCTTGGTGGCTCTTCGGCGGCCTTGGGGTGGTCTTGGGGGCGTATTGGGCTGTCTTGGAGCGTCGGAAAGCTGAAAGGGCGAGAACCTGAAAAAAATGATATGTTGGGAAAAAAAGAAAAACAACAAAAAAACGAAGGACCATCAACGATTCATACGTATTGGTGAGTTTTGAAGATGTCTCTGGGAGATCTCGTAGGGGCTGTCGGTCAGAGGCTTCCTGGATGCATGCCGTGGTCTGTGGGGACGCTTCTCGGGAGCTTGTGGGAGAAACTCGGGCCTATCTTAAGGCAAACGGCTTGAAATGTCAAGTGGGGTCTTCTGTTTGGACCATCTCGCGGGGCCGTCTTGGAATAATGTTCGACCGTGGCGAGGGCCTCTTGGGCAATCCTTGCGCCCTCCTGGGCCGTTTGGGGGCCCTCATAGGGCCTCTTGAGCTGTCTTGGAGCGATCATGGTGGCCTCTTGGGCTGCCCTGGCGCGTCGGAAAGCTGAAGCGAGAACCCGAAACTCGAAAAAGCTGGGGCGGCATCGGTTTTTACCTATTCTGGCTTATGAGTTCGGCGAAGTGCGGAAAGACAAACATCAAACATGTCCTTTAGGTTTTCGATGATTTTGAGCCTTCTAAACCTTCTGGGGTCTGCGAGAGTAGACTGAGGGGTGGATGGGTACGGGAGGAATTTGCAAAAAAAAAAAAAAAAAAAAAAAAAATGTGGAAGCTCGTTTTCCCCCAATCGCCAGGCCTCGGCTGTGGGTCAGAAGCCTCCTGGATGCATGCTGGTGGCGCTTTGGCGGTCGTTCGGGACCTCTTGGAAGGCTCTTGGTGCATCCTGGGAGCCTCCAGGGAGTCCCTGAAGGCATATGAGGGGCGCCTCGAGCGCCTTTGGGAGAACCTCGGGGCCATCTTAACGCGGAGCGCTCGAAAGGCTTGGGGAGGTCCTCTCTCATTGCTCCCTCTTGGCGCGCGCGCTGAGGTTCTACATAGGCTGGATAGGTGAACCCATGGGATCTCGATGTTTGAAAGAGATCCAACACAGCGTCAAGGAATTCAATAGCATTTCCGGAAAATATTTGACATGTGTTTCCGAAATCTTGATGGGGTTCGGGGTGAAGTTCAACAACAATCATTTGAATCCATGTAGTGCGCAAGAATCGGGGGGGCCTAAGAGACCTGCACGGGGCTCCTGGGCGGTAGTTTTGAAGCCTCTTTGGGTTTTGATTGTTGGGCTTCGTGTTTTTTTATTGGGGGGGCCTCTCACGGTTCTGGGGTCTGTTGGGGGCCCCTGGCAGTTTTCGCCCACAGTTGAAGTCATGTGGAGAGCGAGCCCGAGCAGACCAGGATGTCCCAGCTAGTCAACCACGTGGCGAAGCGCGTAATGGCGAGGGGAGCACGACCGATCGCAACCACTTCGGACTGATCGCAACCAGTTGCGATCGGTCCGAAGTCGTTGCGATGTTTCTGGGTCGTTTCAAGAAGGTTCCGATTAAGGCAGACACCATAAGAGCAGCGTGCAATGAGCTCCCTCAAGCCGCCACATGGGAATCTGAAAAAGCGGTTGCGATCGGTCAAATCACAGACGGCCGATCATGATCTCAGCTAAACACATGTGCTTGAGTTCGAACGTGGCCATGATCCGTAGACGATTCCTATGTGGTTCGTATACGATTGAAACCGAAACTGAGCAAAAACGCCCGGAGCAAAACCAATTGTATCTCAGGAGGGGGAGGAGGAGGAGGAGGAGGAGGAGGAGGAGGAGGAGGAGGAGGAGGAGGAGGCGGAGCAGGAGGAGGAGGAGGAGGAGGAGGAGGAGGAGGAGAGGGAGGAGGTGGAGGAGGAGGAGGAAGAGGAGGAGGGAGGGAGGAAGGGAGAATGAGGAGGGGAGGGAGGAAGGGCAGGAGCAGGAGGAGCAGGAGCAGGAGGAGGAGGAGGAGGAGGAGGAGGAGGAGGAGGGGGAGGAAATGGAAGAGGACAGGATGGGAAGGCGGGTAGACGCGGCGGCCCAGACCCCCAACGTCATGATTTTTCAAAACCGTCGACCCCCAGAGGTCTGGACGAATTCCCCTACGGTAGGTTCGTGCGGCGTCGGCACTCGCAAGGCTTTTGGAACCGCGTCGATCGTTCAACCTTAAATCGATCGCGGCCCCGTTCGTTCAAGGTTGAATTTCGTCGGGTGCAGTGGCCCCACCGTGTCCCTCAGTGCTTCCGCGTCGCAGAATGCAGCCCTGAACGCCTTCGCCAACGTCGCTGGCGTGCCATCGCCGCATGAACCTAAAGTAGACCATCATTGCGTACTGAGTCACCTTTGGACGGCCCCTGGGCCCGGCGATGGCCCCCGGAGCCCGAAACAAAAACAGATGTTGTCACGACGCTACGCGGTCTGGGCCTGGTGTTTGTGGGGACTTTGGCTGGGGGACGCGTGCGCCTTGCGCGGCCTGCGAGACCTTTGGCGCCCGTGCGACACGCAGGACCTGTGGGACCTGTGGGGCCTGCAGGGCAGGCGGGAACGGCGGGATCCTTGGGACTTGTGCGACCTGTGGGAACTGTGGACTTGTGCGACCGGTGGGAACTGTGAACTCAGAAGCCCC